AAGGCAGCCTGAGCCAGGGAACACTTCACACTGCTGTGTGCCAAGGAACACTCAGTCACTGCTGGGTCACAGACCTTGTGGGGTCTTGTCAGAACCCAGCAGGTGCAGCAGGCCCCTCCATGCTGTGCCCTGAACTGGTGAGACAGAGACACCAAAGGTCAGGGCAACAGACTTGATGGCACATTGTGGTATGAGTGATCAGTTCTGAGCTCCAGGAACTGGAAGATACAAAGACTTCTGCTCCACCCACAGAATAGCAGAGTCAGCTCATGTCCATAGCCAATTCCTTGAGACAATTTCAATGGAAACAATAGCAAAGCACCATTGCTCCATCACATACATCAGCATTTCTCTGTTACTACAAGTACTTGACTTGTGACAACTGATTTTCTAGACTTCCTTCAGAATCCTGCTTTCCTGGCTTCTGGCTCAGCTGAATTGTCAGAAAGAAGCTCATCTGCTGGAGCGACCTACAGCCCAAGTCCTGCATCTGCAAAGATGAGGACAGACTGTCATGCCTGTCCTGGAGCCACGTCAGGTATGCCTGGCAGAGCAGCACAGGCAGCTGTCACCTCAGCACAGGCACTCCCAGCAGCAGTGATGCCCAATAAAGGCATTCCAGCCATCAGTGATTCTGTGCACTCTTGTCACTAAAACAACCTCCTAGTAATTTCCAACATCACCTACAGCACAGCTTGGTGCAGCTGATGGCTCAAGCAACCCTGCCCACCCCTGCAGCACAAGCTGTGGAATTCAGGTATATTGATAACAATTAACAGTTTTGGGCCCTAGCACCGCATCTGGCAGAAGTGAGTCTCAGAAAAAGTTCTATGAATAGAGTACCAAGTGTCAGGGCCACCTGCTATGGCTCCCTATCTACCCTTCCTTCTCTTCATAAACAAACTGGAGCAACACAGGTGGTGGGATGTCTCTGTTTGCCTCCTTCAAAGTCACTATTTTGATATTAAAGAACATGTTTTCCACTCTTCCACCTAGTAAAAAGATTTAACAACTCCTGTAATGCTTGCACAAAAAGTCCCTGTACACAACTGGATCTAGTCCAAATCTCCAGGTCTACCATATCTCTCCAGATCCTGTGCCACTACACTTGCACTTTTCATTTGGTTAGCATGTGATGTAAGTGGAATTATCTTTGCTTCCTTATGCCACTTGTCAATGACATGCTACATATGTGGAAACATACTCCCCTCTCTAGGAAGTGCTGAGCAGCCAGCCTGACTCAGACCCCCGACTCCTCTTCCAATGGTGCTGAACTATTATTTTGTGTGGTCAGGTGGATGGTGTTTTTGGGACCAGCTTGACAAGCCTGAAGCTCTGCCTCTGAAATGGATAAAGAGAGTTCTCAATATCTCGTGACTGATCTGCAGGGAGCACAAACCACCCTGGATGTTCGAGTAAATGAGGGAAACACCTAGATGATGTTTTTGAAGGCATCAGGAGGCTCGAATGTTCAGCTGCCAATCATGACATGACATCTGTAATTTCTCAGCTGGTGGCATGGTTTCTTTAAAATTTGGTCCCGATCTATGTTTTAAATTGAAGAGCAGTTAAACTTCATGCATAAATAAAAAGCAGATCATATATTAGAGAATCTGTATTGGATTTTGAAGTAGGCTAGAAAGTACATAAACACCTTTAGTACAGACTGCTTTTCTTACATCACTGCTTTGTTCACTGTCTCAGCAGGACAGGGAAATATGCAACACACTTTCAACCAAACATTTTGGGGAAAAAAAAAAAGAAAATAAAACCCAGCTGAAATCCTACCTTAAATAGATCCACTTCATATCTTGGTCCCCTGTGAAGAGCAGCAGCTGTGAAACAGTCCAGAGACACCAGTGTTCAAACCCCTCTGAAACAAATGCAGGCAGCTCACCTCACACTGACAGGTTCCTCTCACAGTTGTACTATTTTCAAATAGTACTAGTTGTAAATTGTACTAGTAATTAATTGCACTAGTTTTAAACCAACAGTATTGACTTCAAAGCAAGGTTTAACCTGATCCACACTTGCATAAATGACAGAACAAGCCCATTCTTGGTTCAACAGCTTGGGCAGTTCAGATTTGGTTCATCATAGGAATTTATCACCATCCACAGAAAACTTTTTTACTGGAAAAGGAAAGATAAAAGCCTGCAAGAGCTGATGAGAACACCAGGAAAAGCAGGCAGTGAGGCTATGCCCAGAAAGCCAAGTGTTGCACTCAGGTCCACTGCAGCTGCCTGTGTGTTTCCCCCAACAGAGAACAGCAGAACAGAGAGAACAATAGAAAAAGACAAGTGGAGGGGAGAACCACCTTGACAAGTTTGATAAACTCAGGAGATGAAGACTTCCTAAAAGATGAGGAAGGATAAAGGCGCAGGAAAGGGCAAACAATTCAGTTTCTCTGTCAAACAGAAACTCAAGGGTTTTCCCACATCATGAAGGTCAATCAAGATTTTACATAAGATAACAGGATGCAGCTTGCCCACAAAAAGTTAGTGTAGTTATACTTAATGTATCCACTGGATTAAAACATGACAACTTGAGCATTTTTTTTTTTTTAATTTATGGAAGGCAGCTCTTTAAAACCTTCTGAAGCAATTAGAGAGAACTATGTTTTCCAAGAACATGTGCCTGAAGAGGGAGCACATTCTAGGAAATACGTGATCCTGTGCTAGAGGTGCAAATTCCCTAATGGGTACTCTATCAGATTTTTTCAGACACCAGATAAAATAGAATCTTCAAATGCTGATCAACTCTAAATCTATAAAAACTGAAGTAAGCCAGGAAAAACTCCACACTGTTAAAAAAGCAAGTGCCAGACTATAAACCTCATGGGGAAAATCTAGAAGACTGAAGTTCCTGGGAGTTTTGTTATTGCACGAGTGGAGCAGAGATTTCTCCCTAACTGTTCCCCAAGCCCAGGGGTAGTCAGTCTGCACTTTCTCTAGTGTGCAAGGGATGGAAGAAATCAGAAGAGAGCACATAATAAATCAACTGACAGTCTCTAAAAAATAGCTGTCCTGTCTCCTTAATATGAGTGAGAGTAATGTTCTGAGGGCAGGAAGAATTCAGCTTTAGGCTACAAACATTCCCCTATTGGGGTACAGAAAGTGATCATTCTGTCGTTTAATCAATCTCAGGTCTCTCTTTGAGGGAAATAGCATGTTGCCTGCAATAGTACATGTAATAATGTTTGCTGAAATGTAAACTGTGGCTGTTTATCCCAAAATGGAAGGTCAGAAGTCAATTGAGGATCTGGCTGCAGAAGTTCAGCAATAGAGATCAAAGAGCAATATATCAAATCCAGTACTTTTCCTCAAGGAACAGGTTGAAGACATTTCTCAACCCATCTCCTTTAAGTGCACTCACCCTGCACGTAACAAAGCTGTGCACCACAAACTGCCAAGTTACTCAAAGATGAAGTTTCCTAATTTCTCCTTGTCCTGTGCTCGAGTATTTAAATATTTATACAGTGAGTTTGCTCTTATCCACAAACATAGCTCCCCTGATCCTCTGCAATGCTTTTCAAGTCCATCTACCACAGTGAAGAATCACATGACACACCACTTAGTCCTCCCCCAGCCCTTGATAAATATTTCCTAAAGCCGACATTTGGTATTACGGAATGTGTTGTAATCAATTCTTAAAGTTATAGCACCACTGGATTTTTATTAACTTGCACAACAACAACAACAAAAATCCAACAAAAAATGGGCCCTCATAATCAGTTAGCCTTGTTATATCCTGAAAGCTGCTTTAACAAGCAGGGAGTAATATAGTGTAATTGGTACTCTGCAATTTAATTGTTCTGTTCTTAAATCTAATATTGCAGCTGTGGGTTAAGTTTACACCACAGCTTTCAAGAGAACATGAAAGTGTGGTACATCTGTGCAACAGAAAGCTAAACATCTCTCATCTGATGTGTTTACAATGACATTTGATAGCGTGGAATTGTTTGGAGTTCATTCTTAAAGCTGCAGAACTGCTTTTCAATGCTGGGGAGAAAAAAAAAAAAAAAGGAAAAAGCCTCCAATCTCCTTCCAGCAATTCAGCCCATACAACCCTGATGCTTGCGGCTGCTGGCATTGCAGGGAAACTGCTGGCCGAAAAAATTCCTTCAGGTAGTCTTGAGCATTTGTCACTCAGGCAGTGGACAAGAGGACAAGGGCATCTCCCTCTTCAGAAGATAAAATAATTATTTGAAAAACAAACAACTCAAAAAAAACCCCAAACCCCTGGACAGAACAACCCCTGACATGCATAAACCAGACAAAAATATTTCAAGAAATGTTATTTCATGGATGATTGTAGCATGGAAAGAAATGGTAAGTTTTCTGGTTAGCAGGTGGCAGAACTGCTTATGGTATCTCGAACTTCACATTCTGCATAACTAACAGCTTCAGCATTATGTACTCGTTAGTGAATTTATGAGGCCCATAAGTAGTTCAAGAAACTTAGGAATGAGCCCATAAATGTCATCTGCAGTTTGTGAACTGCAAGTATCTGACTGTTTTGATCAAGGTTTTTATGGGAAAGTTAAATGTTTATTAAAATTATTTACTACTACCCCACAAAAAGGGAGCAAGCCTGCTGAAGAACTTAGGTAATGATAAGATGTGATAGGTTGTAGGTCAAATGAGTTGGCAGAAAAGCATTTCTGTTTATGTTTAAGCCCAAATTTTGTACAATTCAAAGTTTGGAGTGCATTTAGGTGACCGAGAAAAGGTCTGTGGAGAGGAGGAATTTTCCCTTTCCCATAACCTGCTGTCAGAAATACATGATCTCATCAGGCTGCTTTTCTTGTTCTCAGCATTAGCCTTTTTCTAACACTCTCTGTCCTTGGAGAAATGCATGATAGTGCAACTTAGTTAATGAAGTCACCTTCTACTCATTCTTTTGTAGCAGTCCACACCGGCGTGTTGAATTATGCTCTTTAACAGATCAGTCTCACTGATGAAGTTCAGCTGTATTACACTGGAATCGATTAACTTTTAAAACTTTATTATTTCAGTCACAATTAAGACTATCTGAAGCCTCTTCATAAAAAAGGGCCATATCAAAAGCTGTAGGTTAGCAACTGGATCAATGGATGCATTCATTCTGCATCAAAAACACCTTAAGAAGGACAGATCTCCTGGGGAGGCAAATCTGTATCAATATTTCAGTCTCTTGAATACAGAAGTTTGATACAACGTGATGCAACACCTGAGCTTCCCCTCCTTTCAATTAACTGAGAAATAAAAATTGTCCTTAGAAGGGAAGAAATGCATTTGTACTGTTTAGTTTTCAGGTTTTCCGCCCTTTCATAGCATCATAATGTTCTTTTCATGGGTGGAAAACTTAATCTTCAAGTTCAAGCCTAGATTCTTCATACAGTTCAGGATGAGATGACTTGGAATACCGGGAATATTTCAGATGTAGAAAATCACCCAATTCATCCAGAGCATTCAAAACCTGTAAAACCATGATACTTTGTCAATTCAATTGGAAACGAAATGAACTTCTACTAACTTTTACTTTACTGCAGAACAAGAAGATTATAAAAAAATCAATTGAAGTTTAAAGGACAAATGGGCAAATTTTGCATTCAGTCTACAACAGGGAACATCAGTGCAGTTGTAGATGTACAACAGCATCCATAAGAAAGGAATTTACTCCTTCAGTAGGTTATGATTTATTAGTAAGTACATTAATTGAGCACAGATGAAAAAAATTTTTTTTTTCAAAAGTGCAGAGAGGTAACAACCAAGATAAAAAGTTATCTTTGCATGTGCAAAAGAAACATGTGAGTCTATACTTCAGTATTCCTCGGTAGCCCTCAAAGACTGGAGCTGCCAATGCCTTTTCTTAGGTAATAATCAGCTCACAGTGCTGAGCAGAATCAGAATAAATAGTCTGAATAGTTTAAGATCATTTTAGTGAATGCCATTGTTTTATATATCACAGGGGCAAATTTTTGTTCATTAATACTGTAATGCAATTTGCTGAGCTGTGTCCTTAGCTCTCAGTGGATTCAAAAAAATATCCAAGGAACTCTGTACCACAGGGAAGCAGCTCAGTGTTTTGCAGCATCTGACCCCCATTCAAGAGCAGCCAACTTTTTGGCATCAAAGAAGGAAACAGCAACTTTGATTTTAAGCCTGTTTCTGTTAAGCCACTAAAACAAGCTCATAAACAAAAACTAATTTAGAACAAAAAGAAGTAATTTAGTAATGGTTTAAGCAGAAAGATAGCTTCCAGGTCATTAAGGAAGTTATTCTTGGGAGCTTGCCCTTTCATGGATCTTTTCTCTTTAGTTCCAGGCTGAGATACAAAAGGGGAAATGTTTTCATTGTGCTTGTTACCTGTTGTTACCCTGGGTTTAGGCACAGTCACAAAGTGTTTTGTCCTAAAAGCTTTCTTTCTGCAAGTAATTAAACTCAGGGCATTTCCATTCCCCCATGCTGTAAGAGTGCCACAAGTACTGTGGCAAAAGCACAGCATGATCAGTGGTGCCTGGGGAGTGCCAGACCTTCCCTGGGAGCAGCAAGGTGCAGGTGGCAGGGAGTGAATGCACAGGGATGGCCCAAAAACGAGGTGGGCTCGACATTTGGGAATGGGGACAAAGGAAGAAAATCAAAGCAGCAACCCAAAGGGATAAATCTTCAGATCAACTTCATTGCCTGTTACCAGTTACAAAAGCCAAAATCCTCACAGTCAAACAGCAAAAGCTGGTAAGGACCAGCACAAGAACGTAGCTATGCTCTGTTCTACAAAATACTGCCTTGGTATTGTACCTTGTGAATAACTACTGAACCTTTAAAAGCAGCAGGAATTTTACACTGCACACATGCAAAGCAGGTTTTTGATGTTGTTTTACAGCTACCTACACTGGTATGGGAGCTGCTCAGCAGGACAGGGCTCCAGTCCCACATCCACGTGTACCTCAGGATGCAAAAGGAGATTCAGGAGCTCTCTGCAGGCCCTAGTGCTTGTCTGCATGAACCAGTGGCACATTTAACTCAAATGCCTTTCCTTGTTCAAGGATTTTTCACTTTGACCATCAACACTTGTGCAAAGAGAGGAAAAGCAAAGCCTGAAATTTATTGTTAAGCCTCTTTGTTTCATTCCTCTAAGTTGGCTTATTCTGAGAATGAAAGAACATATCTCAAGCCAGGCCAAAAACACCTTCGGCAAAAAAAGGAAATGAAAAATTTCAAAGAGTTTATTTTAAACATATTTCCATGTTGGAACAGAGATTTGTGATGGAAGTCTCAACACACTATTAATGGTATTTCTGATATCAGAGAAAGATACAGAACTGAGACTTTCCAGACAGCACCAATTAAATTTGATTAGGTTCAAACAGTTCCAAAACTGTTAGCAATTTCCACCTGTACCCCCAAGGCTGTCCCATATACTTCTACAGTTCAAGAAACACATGGAAATATGGAATGGAACTATGGGTATGGAAAACTTGATTTTTAATTATTTCCATATAGTTTCAGGTTTCCTACTCTGATAGTTTTGACGTAGCATTTAACTTTTGTCTTGCTGTGCCTTTCATGTAGGTTTTTATTAGTGATGACAGATTTGGTCATTATTAGAAATAGAAGAATAGAACATAAGAAATTAACTGTCTCATAATTTATTTTAGAAAATAAAATGTATAAGGCTCTGATGCCTTTAAAGATCAAGTGCCAAGGCCACAAAAACAAATGTAAAAATGAATTATTGAGATTCAAAGTCAGAGAGGCCCAGCTTCTCCCAGCCTGCTTTGCACCTGAAGTTAATTTGGGCAGGACATCTGCTGCACTCACCGTGTCTAACATCTCCCGTGTATGAGCAGCTGACACGCAAAACCGAGCCCTGGATTCTGTGATAGGAGTAGCTGGAAACCCAACCACGACCACCCCGATGTTCTTTTCCAACATGCGTCTTGCGAAAGCCCTAAGGAGAGAAAAAGTAGGAGGAGAAAAATCAAAAATAAATTATCCCCAATAAACTGAACACAGAGAGAAAAAAATCACTTATAACGCAACAATAGGTAAAATCCTGTTTTCAATTGATTGAATATTCCCACTGATTTCAATAAAAGCCAGAATTCTACCAGCAGGACTGAGATTCTTTGCTGCTTAGCAGCTCATGAAGGCAAGTGGGTGTCAAATACTAGAAATGTGATGGCACAGAGGGCTCTGCAGGTAGACATGATTCATTTATGTCAATGAAAGTCTCCGAGTACAAATCAAACCATGTGGGCATTTGCAGTCCATAAGGATGGAAGAGGTTGGGCTTGTGGAAGGTATAAATTCTTGGTTCCTGAACACCAATAGGAATAAACCAATCTGTGTGATGATTTATTTGCTCTCACAATTGATCTGTTAGTTAGGAAGGCCTGTGTGGCATGTATGAGACCTAAAGCCCACAGACACCCTAAGCTACCTGCAAATACTCCCTACAGCTCAACACTTACATAATGCTACTACTGACTTCTGGTCTCTGTGTCCAAGTCAGTGCACAAGGGCTGCTTGAGATGAACTGAATGGTAAAATATGCAAAGACCATTCAAAGATCAGATGGGGGAAAAAAAGCATCCTCCTAAACCAGTTCATACAACCATGGCAATGTGTCCTTTAATAATTACAAATTCAAACCCAAAAAAATTCAAATTCAAAATGTTATCAAAAGTATTATTCCAGACTATGTTAGAAATGGAAAAGAGAAAAAAAGTTAAAATTCTGACATCTGGAACAACTCAAAATTAAACCTAGGGGCAAAAAGAAAGCAGAACTAAATGAAGAATTCAAACTGCAGTGTATGTTTCTCCTGGGAAGCACCTACCACAGAGAACATCATCTTCTGCAGTGTGTACCAAATGACCCACAAACTTGAATAGTGCTTGTTTTGCCAGCAAGGTTTTTTCAGTACTTACCCTATCTTGCCAGGCATATAAAGGAGCAAGGGAACAACAGGAGAATCATCATTGCCATAAATGATGAAGCCCATTTCATGCAGTTTTCGTCTGAAGTACCTTGTGTTTTTCTCCAGCTGACGCACTCTTTGGAGCCCTGAAACAATCCAGTCAGGACAAAAGTCAGTGCAAAGATCATACCTGGAGTCTAGTCACAGGCAATAATCAGGGCTGGGGTAACAGCTTGGCTGAAATGTAAATGCTGCTATTTGATTGAGAAGAAAAACATGGAATGAGCTAAATTCAACTATGTTGATTATTACGGCATTGTAGGATGGATGGCTGATACTCCTGTACTTGTGAAGTACCTTCCCATGGACAGAAACAGTCTCTGTCTGGGGATAGACATGTGGACAATTCTATGGACTTCGTTGTGTTAAATAAAGCCTGCTAGATGACACACACCTACAGAGTAGTGCAGACAGTTCATGGAAATCGAGTATATTCTTTCTCAAGGTAACTGACTATTAACTCTGCATTGTCCCTGGCCTCAGTTAGCCATGGATCCACAGATGGGACCCCTGCAAAACTGACAGGAGAGTTGAAAACAACTATTTTTAATGAAGGAAAAAGACCAAAAAACCAGCAGAGAAAAATGTGCTTGAAAAGGCATTTTGGCCATCTCTTTTGCATTGCCAGGAGGTGGTTCCTGACAAGTGCAACTGCTTCCCAACCCATCACACAAAGAGGCAAGAAACACACTCTACACTACTGTAGTAGAAGATATAATATGTCCTTTCACCATTCCACCTGCATTATCTCTAATCAGTGAGCTATCTATGTGCTGCTTTTGCACTGCTGAGGGGTGCTGACAGGCACGGTGCCACCTCCTCCATACACACATGCCTGCCCAGTGCCAGCTCAAGTCCACACAGCCAAATCCAGCCAGGTCTGTCAGCTGCCTGACCTTGCCAGAAACAAAACTGCCAAGCCACCATTAAACAGATGGAGTCTCCAAACCCAATCACTGTTCAGTAGCTTGTGTCTGCCCAGCAGAGGTGGTGAGAATGTGTAGTGAGACTGGGAGTTAGCAGGACACAATTACACTCTTAACTTTCATTTTCCTGCTGTTCATCAGCCCATACTCTCAATATCACTTACATTATGTCACCAGACACAAACACTGAAACCTCCAGTGCAACTCATTTCCTCTTTTCCCTATACCTTTGCAAAGATATTATATTTTCACTCTCCATTTATGTTTTCATTTTACTTTACATTTTGTTGGCTTCTTTCTTCATTTACCCCTTTCTGCTGCCATCATTCTGAGTGGATGCCCGCTTCCTAATTCCCCATCTTGCTCTGTGCAATCACAGTAGCCAGTAAGGCATTTGTAGCAGCTACATGCTGCAGATTTGTCCTCAGACCACATTCTGCCCCCACCATCTGCTCTGGCTTTTCTTCCCTTTCCCTCTTGCCTGAAGTGGGGATCAGCACACCTACATGCATCTCTTCTACATCATTATTTCTGAACATGTGTAGGGTTGAACAAGATCTTCTACTTCCTTTGTTCTGTATCCTCCAGAGTCAAGGTTCTGCCAGTGCTCTGGCTGGGAAATTTATAGGGAAACTGGGACTTGCTTCACAGTGTTCGGTGTTTTGCTTGAACAAATTAAAAGATCTCATAAAAACAGTGCATTTGTAGCTTTATAAACAAAACTGCCCACGCAGACAACCTGTTACTTACAGTCTCAGTCATTCAGTTTAAAGCACTCAGTAGAAGAGATCTGCTGGGTTAGAAAAGGCCACAAATAGTTTAACTATCTCTCTAATGCTGTTAAAGCAAAAACAGCTGTGCCAGAGCAAGGAAAACAAATGAAACACAAAAGCATCCTACTACAAAGCTTTCCAGTCACTAATAAAAACAATAGTCTGTGGTATTTCCAAAAATATTTTTGGTGTAGTAGATCTCAAAGAAACAGGAGGAAGTATTGAGGAGGAGGAGAAGGGAAGGGGAGATGATGGTAAGGACAAGGAGTTAGAGAATTACAGAATAACGTGGTTGTAGTCTAAAGAGAGAAATTTTCCCTTGTTAGAAATTGTAAAGATGTTATTAGCACCTCCTCAATGTCCAAGTTTTGAGGAGGAGGGTGGGGGAGTAACCTGAACTCGGCGCTCAAAGCCACTGCTGTTTCTTGCTATCTTAGCAGCCCCTGAGCTAGTTTCCAAACTCTCAGTTGGAAAGCATTTGAAACTACTAGATTTTCAATTAGGGAAAGCTTTTCATAAATGCAGATGTTCTTGGCGAGTGCAGTTGAAGATTTGCTGCCTTCTCCTTTCTATTCATGTGTTTACCACAGAGCTGGAAACACAGTGTGAGCCACGCAGCATTCCAGGCTGTGCTGTTTGCTATTTATCAAACCATATGCGCAGGACCCAGAGTCGAACAGTTTTGTCTTCACTTGTTTTTGGTGCTGGAAATTTAGACTCCAGCTAAGGGAACTTTAGAGCTGAAAGAGGAGGTTCAGGCAACCCCCCCCAAAAGTCAAACACCTCTTCCTTTTCTAATCCTCCTTTCCTGATTCTACATCCTCAAATGGTTTGTGATGCGAGATCCCCCCTCTCAAGGCTCCCTGTGGAGCTCATTTCAAGCCAGCCAGTGCTGATGCAAAAGAGCCACTTGGATGTTTTAGCAATATCCCAGAATACTAATTTCATTTGCAGGGATGCATTAAAGAGCCAAATAAAAGATCAGAGCACTCACATATATCTGGAGGGAAAAAAAGCACATTAGGAGACAATTGTTACACACACAGTATTTGTGGGTGGGTGGCTGGGAGGAACCTATTTCTTTAGCAAATGTCAACACTTTCCTTTCTCATGTTAAGTTTTGTGGTCAACGACCACAGACACGCATCATATATGCAGACTTCCTATATGCTGTCCCAGCAAGAGCAATAAAACCATTACAATTTGTAGCTGTATTTCAACACTCTTTTCCATTCTTTTATGGGACCTTCCAACATCAGATAAGGAGGCAGATCTGAGCAAAATGTTTATTTTTGTCTCACTGGCCTGATTTTCCCCCACACTGCAGATTAAGAGTGGTGTATTCAGTTTAGAATCAGATCTTAATCCAAATTCACTGTGGGATGTTTAACTAAAAGCACCACACTTAGAAAGCATTTTCTTTGATTTTTGAGGCTGGGATCATGCATCCTTTAATATTTATTGCGTGAAAATCTGCCAAGCAGACCCTTGAGCTAAAAGAATACAACTGCATCTATGTAAGAATTTACCTGAATGGGACTAATTAGAGGATCAGGTCCCTACACAGTAAATATGTGTTACAAAATTCTTACTTTGCAAAATCCTTGAGGATTTACAGTCTATGCAAAAAGCTTATAGCACAGCATGCAGGATATCCAGAGTTACAGTCCATGAAATATGTAAACCACAACACAGCTTATGTTTGGAAAAAGGCTGGACATGGAATACTGACACTTCTCTATTTAAAACTAAGCACACTAATGCTCCAGAGTATTCAGCTAAGGCTGAGAACAACTTTATTAAGTACTCCATATCTTCTTATTGGCTAAATTAAGAAGGGACAGAAGGAGAGAAAAGTGAATGATAAAAAATTCCCAAAATTCACAAGTTATCTTCACGCTGCCGGGAACATACACAGGTGGTTTATGAGGATTTTTCTGAAATAAAGGATTAATTGTCTGGATGGTACAAGAAAAGCAGATTTACTGCATCAACAATCCACCTTCTGCTGGCAAATTTAGAGTTTTCATTTGGTTGCACCACTTTAAAAATATTTGGTTTACTGCAAAGTTCTAAGATGTTGGCAATTCTGGGGAAAATGCTGATTATATTTTTATGTGACATGCATCATTGCAAACTGCTGGCTTTAGCTCATTAATTTATGCAGGCTTTTAGAAAGCTTTATACCTCAAAATTAATATGGTTAGTTGAAAGAAAAATACAAAAAGAAGGCAAGAGAGAGAGATAAATAATAAAATGCAGTAGCTCATAATTTCTTTGAAGCAACAAACTTTTTAAGAGAGCCACTTGGAGTAACAGACTTGGCAGAAGCTTTGTCACACATTTTCAGGGCACCTGACATCAGGGTCTTTATAGATAAGCAATTACACAATTGAGCTTCTACATACTAGTGTCAGTGTTCCTTGGATGGAGCACTCAACTCCCTGCCTTCCTCTACTAACAACTAGATAGGAAAAAACAATCTTCCATAGGCTGAAAAAAAACCTGGAAAACAATAGCTCTTTCCCACTAAACTATTGCAGATGGACAGATTTCCTTTTTTTCCTCTGGTTCCACTATAAGAGTAACACACATGCATGTGCATTAAATCACAAATAGAATGCTATAAAACCGGGGTGCCTAAAGGAAATATGTTCTCAGATAAAACAATCTTCATAAAAAATAACTTTGCTACGAACTGGGGAGAAGTGAAGACATCTACAATCTAATGCTAACTAAAAATCTAGTAATTTCATCTTAATTCAGCTGCTAAATAATCCCTTAAAGACTCATTTTGACTGTGAACTGCTGTAAAACACTCTTCAGAGAAGATTAAAGGAAGAAAAATAGTAATTTCAATTGAAGCAGGAAGGAGAAAAACTGTAACGATTCGGTCATTTGTGCTTTATTTCTCGAATGGGTCAGATCTGCCTACCCAGCACCTTATCTATATTCAAATATAGTGTAGGGACAGAGGAGCCAGCCTTGGTTGACCCTTTTTACTCCCAGCACAGGTGATTAATCACCTGTGATTAATCAGACCGGGTCCATCCCGCCGCTGAAAACCAGCACAAGGCTCTCTATCTGCATCCCATCAGGTGTTCCTAGGGATCCAAAGGCTGCTGGGATCGGCACTTCCCTGCTGTGTGCTCAGGAGGCTGAGAGCAGCATCTGCAGCAGAGGGATCCTCACTGCCTTCCAGCAGGAAAAACACCCTGGAAAGGGATTGTGTGCCTGCTGCTGTCCCTGTGGGAATCATGGCTTTCACCGCTGGGGGTCTGGCTACAGGTGACAGCCGAGTGAGACATCCCTCCTCTGCCTGCAGTTGATGCTCATGTCTGGGCATCTAGTAGACCCTTCCATGGGCAGGGTCTACTAGAGCATTAC